TATAGCATACCCAGTATTTTACCATTCAAACTTTCAAATATTTCCAATATATTCTTCATTAAGTATCCTTAAAGAAAAGATGTCAGAATGATCATCAAATATCAAATAGATAGCCTTTTCATAGGGGAGTCATTGGGTGTTAGAATACAAATCTTTAATTTTTCTTATTTTTCATGTGTTTTTTTATAATTTTGTCCACCAATTTTTTAACCATCAAACTTTCAAGTACTTTCAATATATTCCTCATAAAGTATCCTCAAAGAAAAGATGTCAGAATGATCATCAAACATCAAATAAATAGCTTTTTCATAGGGGGGGTCATTGGGTGTGAGAATAAAAATCTTTAATTTTTCTTATTTTTTAATGTGTTTTTTATTATTATTATTTTTTTCACCCAATTTTTTAACCATTAAACTTTCAAGTACTTTCAATATATTCCTCATAAAGTATCCTCAAAGAAAAGATGTTGAAATGGTCATCAAATGTCAAATAAATAGCTTTTTCATAGGGAGTCCTTGGGTGGTAAAATACAAATCTTTAATTTTTCTTTATTTTTTCATGAAAATTTTCACCTGCAAACTAACAAAAAGTGCCAATGTGTCCTCCATTATGCATACAACAATATCATAGTCATTTACTCAAATAAAATTAGATTTTTGAATGTTTTTTGGGGGGAGTTAGATTTTCATGGTACACCGGGCCTCTGAGGCCCGGTTTCAGGGTTTACGTAGGGTTCCATTTCCTTGTGGAAGAGGGTTAAACAACATGTTTACAAAAATCCCCAGCAGACAAATGACATTGATTCACCGTCGAATCAACGTTAATTTTGTTGGATCAACGTTGAATCAACGTAGAACCAATGTCGTTTGCCTGCTGGGATCGCTGCAGTTTTTGACATTTCTCTTTTTTCTAACGGCAGTAATGAAATGATTAGATTTTAGAAGAAAATTTAACAATGAATGCATACCGAGTTCATCTTGCTGCTCTGAAATTTTCTGTAGGGCGGCCGACTTTTCTTCCTGCAGTGTTGCGATTTGCTGTTTTATAAGATTCAGAGTCTGCTCCTTTTCTACGCACTTTTCCTCAATCATTGCTATAAAAAAGTCACATTATAAATAGGTTGTTTTACAAATACATAGTATGTTTAAGGTTTATTTATCTATTATTTATTTACCTGTTACAAAAACTATCAATATTCTTCAGAAAATTGCAAATTATACTTAACTGCATATTGGTCAAAATAATAGATTCTTAGAAAAAAGAAAAAAACATTGGGTTATTCAGTATACATTGTATATAATGCTGAAATGGAATCGTTGACTCACCAATGTTGTTTTCTGAATCAGTAATATGGCTTGACATATTTTCCATTTTGTCCTCAAGATCGGCAACGTGAAGGGTTTTCTTGTTCACGTCCTCAAGTGTTTGCTTCATAGTCAAGAGAACTTGGTTCAGGCTGTTCTTCAAAGCCATCATATCTTTTCCATAATGATAATATTCAGGATCAACCCTAACGGGGAGATCCGGTAACACTTTTTTCCTAAATAATCCTGAAATATAAAAAAGACACTGTACTGCAAAACAAACAGTTACTCAGAGCTATAAGACAGATATTATATTTTGAAACATTGTTACATAATAGTAACAATGATAATAAGACAACTTACCCATCGTCAGATTTTATCTATCTGTTCATATCTCCGTAGTAACATGAACGTTTGGTTGATAAGAGAGTGACGTCATTATGTCTATGACGTCATGTTAAATACAAGGAGTCTTCACACGAGGAAAATAAGCTCTGTTGCGTAGCTTTTACGCCAAACCCTCAGTTAATGTATGGGCTTTATGCTTTAAAACAATTAATCCCTAGTATTTTACATCAGTATCATTTAGTTAAATGTATCCTATTCGAGATTTCCGAGTCCCAGAATAAGAGGCAAATTTCTTCTACTCACAATAAAGCATCGAACTCATCATCTCTGCACTTAGATTCGATGGTTTATACTATTTCTTATTTAAAAATCCAGTTCTAGATGTCTGGCAAGACATTTAGACAGCAATTTATACCTGTTCAAATATTCAGTCCATTTACATGGTTAAAGAAGAGTACGTTTATTTTCATATATGGAAATTAAATTTCCTATAGGGATAGGACATAACTAGATGTTTGTAAACGCTACGCATGAAATTTTAAAAAAAAGTTTTTATTTTCCGCTTTTAAAACAAAATGGGTGCACACATTTTACAAAAGTTCTATATAAAATGCGGAACCTACATATTTTAATTTATTTTATATTAATTTTGTATTCCTGCACGCAATCCATTTCTCATTTCTAACTCCCTTTCTTCATTACCACTCATTATCTTACCAAAATATGCACATTCTTTGCCATCTAGGCCTTTCGCAAAACAACCAGCAATTCAGAGCTCTTGACTGACAAGTCTAAAATTACATTTCTATGGTTACATGAAACAGAATAAAAGAAAAAACAACTTACCCATTGTCAGATTTTATCTGTCTGTTCATATCTCCGTAGCAACATGAACATTCGGTTGATAGGAGAATGACGTCATTCTATTTATGACGCAACACAACGATAGCCCCATGCAAAATAATTGCCTTCTTCAAAGACAATAATAGCACATGTAGGACTAATACTAAGTAACCGTATTGGTCAATGTAGACTGAAAGTTTTAGTTTTAATGCCACGACCATTTCCCCACACTCCCATTTTACCCCGGGTTTTCTGAAAAAAAATTTTTTTTCTGGTTCATCGGATGTATGTGCCTTTTACTTGTCTTTCAGCCGGCGTCTAGGGGCTAGCATATAGTGTAATATCTAACAACTAACAGCTGCCCTCCTCCCCCCCTCCCCCCCTCCCCCCCATCGATCTTTCTGTGTCCTCAACGTCCCCGCGCCCGCAACGTTACTAAGGTGATTTTTTTCAGAAAACAAAGGGGGAGGGGGGGGGGGGCTACATGTAGGACCCCCCTGACCCCTCCCCTAAATCCGCCACTGGATAGGTCTTCTCTCAAGAAACAACATCATGATATTGCGCGCGAGAAAGTCCCCACGATGTTACACCGTTATACCCCTCAAGGGGTTTTTGCATGATGATTCGGGGGGGGGGGG